GCTCAAGGGCGTATGGCACTCTCAACTCTTTCCAGGACATGCCGGGGCCCTGCCTGCCAGTACCTTTAACGATATCTGTGTTGATAGGTAATAGATTAAGAGCGGTGAATCAGCTTAGAAACAGGAAGTGCTCAAACGTTCGTGTGAGTTTATCAAATTTAGCAGTGATTCCATGTCAGCCACACCTTGTCACAAAACATCTTACTGATAGTGTATCTGACAAACTTAAACTAGCTTTATTAAATGTAAGGTCTCTGGCAGGAAAAACCTTTTTAATCAATGATTTTATCACTGAGCACAATCTTGATTTTATGTTTTTAACGGAAACTTGGATTGAACAAAATAACAGTGCAGCTGTTCTTATCGAATCAACCCCTCCCAACTTTAGTTTTATGAGTCAGAAAATAATGCATAAGAGAGGAGGTGGAGTTGCTATTTTGTTCAATGATTCCATTCAATGCAGGAAGACATCTTATGGGAACTTTGCTTCTTTTGAATATGTGGCCCTTCAGCTGAAATGCTCCTCTCGAGCTCTGTTCCTAAATATCTATAGACCACCCAAATACTGTGCAAGCTTTTTTGATGACTTTACTGAACTGCTGTCTATAGTGTGTATTGACTTTGATCGTCTAGTCATTGTTGGTGATTTTAACATCCATGTTGACAACCCCCAGGACAGAGGGGCTAAAGAACTGTTTTGTGTTCTTGATAACTATGGACTGACTCAGCATGTGACGGAGCCCACGCACAATAAGGGGCACACTCTGGACTTATTTATCTCAAAGGGTCTGAATATCTCTAAGGTTGTGGTGACTGATGTTGCACTCTCTGATCATTCCTGTGTGTTCTTTGAGAGCTCTATTTCTGTTCACAAAAATGTTCAAAAAGAGGTAACCACAAAGCGATATTTAACTGAAAATACTAGGGAAATGTTTACTCAGAATTTTTCTTCCACACTTGCCCCCGCTAACATCTCAGTAAATGAGCTAGTAGATCATTTTAATTCAAAAATGAAAAATGTTATAGATGCCATGGCTCCAACTAAGGTAAAGGAAGTGACTGGGAAGAAAATATCTCCATGGAGAAAGGCCATGACCGTGAGAGCAGAAAAAAGAGAGTGTCGAAAAGCTGAACGTAGGTGGCGAAAAACAAATCTCCAGGTTCACTTTAAAATCTATAAAGAGAGACTTGACCTTTATAATTTGGAATTGAAAAACGCACGACAGTCTTTCTTCTCTGACATCATTACCAAAAACAAAAACAATGCACGTGCCTTGTTTGCTGCCGTCGACAGACTAACTAACCCCCCAGTGTCAGTAGCCTCTGAATTTCTATCCACCAGGGCATGCAATGATTTTGCCTCCTTTTTCACTGACAAAATTCAGAAAATCAGACAAGCAGTCAGTGCCTCTGCATCCAGTGCAGCAAATGTGTTGTCCCTATGTCCACCTAATATCAATTCAAACACCATGACACAATTCCATCAGATTAATGATAAAAAACCTAGAAGACATTATTCAACTTCTGAAATCCTCCTCCTGCTGCCTTGATATTATTCCAACAGGATTTTTCAAAGATGTTTTTCGTTGCATGGCCTCAGATCTACTTCATATAGTAAACAAATCTCTTCACTCAGGTATTTTTCCACAGGCCCTGAAAACTGCAGTCATTAAACCGCTCTTAAAAAATAATAATCTAGATACTTCAGTAATGAACAATTACAGGCCCATATCAAACCTGCCATTTCTAGGTAAAATCATTGAAAAAGTTGTTTTTCAACAGTTGAGTAATTTCTTGCATTTAAATAGTTGTTTCGATGTGTTCCAGTCAGGCTTTCATCCAAACCACAGCACTGAGACTGCTCTTGTAAAGGTCTGCAATGACATCCACTTAAACACAGACAGTGGCAGAACTTCAGTGTTAGTATTATTAGATCTCAGTCCTGCGTTTGACACTGTTGACCACAACATATTACTCGACCGACTAGAAAACTGGGTGGGACTTTCGAAAACAGTTCTAAATTGGTTTGAATCCTACTTAAAGGACAGAAACAACTTTGTTTCTATAGGTAAATACACATCTGAGTTGACAAATATGACATGTGGGGTACCTCAAGGCTCCATCTTGGGGCCTCTTCTCTTTAACATCTACATGCTACCACTGGCTCAGATAATGAAAAACAACAAAATAAGTTACCATAGCTATGCGGATGACACACACATTTACGTAACAATTTCACCAGGAGACTATGCTCCAATTCAAACACTGAGTAAGTGCATTGAACAAATCAATGACTGGATGTGTCAGAACTTTCTCCAATTAAACAAAGATAAAACTGAGGTAATGGTTTTTGGAGCCAAGGCAGAACGTATAAAAGTTAGCGCTGAGCTTCAGTCTGCAATGTTCAAAACAACAGATAAAGCCAGAAATCTAGGTGTAGTCATGGACTCTGACCTGAGTTTCAACAGTCACATTAAAACAGTTACTAAATCAGCCTACTATCACCTAAAGAATATATCTAGGATTAAAAGACTAATGTCACAGCAGGATTTGGAAAAACGTGTCCATGCTTTTATCTTCAGTAGACTCGACTACTGCAATGGTGTCTTCACAGGTCTCACTAAAAAATCTATTAGAAAGCTGCAGCTAATTCAGAACGCTGCTGCTCGAGTCCTCACTAACACTAAGAAAGTGGATCACATCACTCCTGTTCTGAAGTCTTTACACTGGCTTCCTGTGTGTCAAATAATAGATTTCAAAATACTGCTGCTGGTTTATAAAGCTTTGAATGGTTTAGGCCCAAAATACATTTCTGACCTCCTGCTAAATTATGAACCATCCAGATCTCTCAGGTCTTCAGGGACTGGTCAGCTTTCTGTCCCCAGAGTGAGAACTAAACATGGAGAAGCAGCGTTCAGTTATTATGCTCCAAATATCTGGAACAAACTCCCAGAAACCTGCAGGTCCGCTGCAACTCTGACTACTTTTAAATCCAGGCTGAAGACTTTTCTTTTTGCCGCTGCTTTTAATTGAACTATTCACATCTTAAACTGCACTGTAACTTTTATCCATGTATTTGTTCTTTTAATGTTTATTTTATTATCTTTTCTTTTTAATGACTGATTTTAAATGCCATTTTCTTAATGTCTTTCATTTTTTGTAAAGCACTTTGAATTGCCTTGTGTTGAAAGGTGCTATATAAATAAACCCCCCTTGCCTTGCCTTACATCACAGAATCAGCCCATGCAAAAACAGGGCTAGAAAGAGCAAATAGAGCGAAATGAGGCATGGCTAAAATGCAGGATCTGCTTGGTATTTTGAAAAAAAAACTATATTTATATACTTTATATTACGGAGCCCTGGAGGGTTCATAGAGAGAAAAATAAATAAAACGTGCCAACGTTTTACTTTCTCGTGCGCACGCTTTAGTAACTCGTGCGCACGAGTTACTAAAGCGTGCGCACGAGTTACTAAAGCGTGCGCACGAGTTAATAAAGCGTGCGCACGAGTTACTAAAGCGTGCGCACGAGTTAATAAAGCATGGCCTCGTTTTGTGTGTGTGTGTGTGGGGGGGGGGGGCATTTGTTTATGATAGTATCGTTCGTTCCGGTGCACTCCGGCAGGACTATAGCACATCGAGATTAAGATTAAACACATTTCTTTCACTTGGGAATACACTTAACTATGGGGAACCAGATTTGTTTAAAGTACTGTTCGTGGTAATTTGAAAACAAATGCCGGTGGTGTCGGATACACACGAACACGCACACAGAGCGGAGCTGAGAACACACACACACACATCATGCGCCCCGGTGACAGAACATCTCCTTCATAAAGCGAGGGGGAATACTCTGGTAGTTCGATGTGTGTATAGGTGTGTGTGGTTAAACGTAGCAGCCTCGATCTCTATTCAGCGGTTCTAATGAAGGGAAACGCAGTGAAGTAAACAGTAAAAGGCACAGCTCTTTGCAGCTGGTGCTGCTCTTCTCAGATTCTGCTGAGTTACACGTTACTGCCTCCACGACGAAGCCAGTTCAACAGACCCTGGACCTGAATATGTTCGATTTACCCGGTTTAACTGACCCTAACAAACGCGATGTCGATAAGCGGTCCTACGAAGCTGGTTATCAACTCAGTAAATCAACCAGGGTTTCTCTGTCCGGCTGAGAGCGCGTTCATGTGAAAGGGACGGGGTTAGCAACATTTGACCAATCACAAACATGGAGACGCGTGCTGACAGCGCAGCATCATACTTCATGAATGAATAGTGTAAATAGCCAATCCTGCTTCGTAGTACAGGCCACTGGTGCCGCTGAGATTTCATAAAGTGAAGGAGGTTTTCCTTCTATAAAACAGCTGTGGGCAGCAGATACTGTGAGTCACGGACAGGAATCCCTCAATTTAAATAAAACGAGGCCACGCTTTATTAACTCGTGCGCACACTATAGTAACTCGTGCGCACACTTTAGTAACTCGTGCGCACGAGTTACTAAAGCGTGCGCACGAGAAAGTAAAACGTGGCCACGTTTTATTTATTTTTCTCTCTATGAACCCTCCAGGGCTCCGTATTATATAGGTATGGCCCTACAATATATTGTTCAAATATAGCATGATAGGTCCACTTTCATATAAAGTGTTACCAAAAATTGGAACATTTTTGATCAGAGATTTTTGGTCACAGAATCATACTGAAAGACGCAAAAATCCACGATTCACGTTTATTAACCAACCTGAACACCGCATAACACACAATACATTGGCATGCTAGCATAATGGTACTGCATGAAACACAATTAGGCCAACCGCAAACTTACATTCAGGACTTAATAACCTCTTTTAAAAAATAAAAATACACAAGACTCTTAACCTGACCGACATTCAATACAAGATTTGGACAGTTTTTGATAACCCAAAAAGTATCAGGGTTTAATAGACATCTCTGTGTCTAAATCTTCATGTTCGTGCAGATTTAACAAACGTGTTAGCGTTGCTTTGCGTACCTTCCTGTTTGATTGGACTGGCGCCTGCAGGGCACGGTGTTGCGGACACATGTGCCAGTGCCCGGGTCCACGTTCTCCACCATGACGAAGGGATGCTCCTCCAGCGTGGCCACAGTCAGGTGGCGGTCATCGGACACCTGCTCCAGAAAGCTGCCGTATCGAGGCCAAACCGGGTAGCGAACCTGAAGGATCCCTCGGGAGAACGTTCCGACCTGAAGAGGGAGGGTGAGAGACAAAAACCTCAGCGCGATCCTGCACAAGTGTTTGAATCTCACCCTCGACCTGATCTGCATATCAACCCCTTCTCTCTTTCCCTGTCTTGTCTCTCCCAACTTCACAGAATGAATGCACTATTTTATTTAAAAATGGAAATTAGCATGTGCTGACCTGGAGGAAGAGGATTAGAAGATGAAAGAAGAGTAGAGTTCATTAATGCCTCAAAGACTTAAAAGTGTTTGAGTTAGACATTTTTAGAAAAAAAGCAGAATATAAAACAAAGGGCATACCAACTGCCTCACATTAATTATACATCCCAATATGTGTTGCCTTCAATCTGTGTTCATTTTGTTGAATGATTATTCAATTATTAATTTTCTTCTTCAAGTGAATAACAAATTGAAATGTCACTGTTCATAAATGGGAACTGTTCAAGTAATTAGTGGTGTTAATTATCTGTGTGTTTAAGTATTTTTGCTTTTCAAATATGTAATGCTATTTGTAGAGCTATAATTAAATATCATTTTGATAACAAAGCGTGCTCAACTGTGATTGACAAACAGATTTGCTGCCAGACTAAAATATACTGTAGCCAAGAGAAATAAGAGGTACATTTAGTTTTTCAATATCAGAGGGAGCCACTTGGGACTAGAATTGTGGTATATTGTCACATCACACAGAGAATAATCCCATCGATGTTGACACTAAACTCAGTGAAACCCTCTCTGTGAGAGCCAGGACTGTTTGTCATATCAACCCAACCTAATGAGCCATGGCTCAGCCAGCGCTGACTTACTGCATGTGAAACTTGCTCTCTTACAGCTTTAATGAGAGCTCTTATTCATACCCACTCTTGATTCTTCTGCTCGCTCATGCTAACGCTCTTCCTTCGTCATGCATGGATGATTTACAAATCTGCATGAAGGTACAGTATATTGTGCGAGACGGTGATTTGTTTCTCCAGTCCACACCATCTGTGAATGAGGGTATCGCAGAGATGTCAGTTGTGAAGATCGCTCATTTCAATCTGTCTTGTTATGGGATGTCGCTTCCTCTCATAGAGCATCTTAAGTTGAAGCTCTGTCATTTGTTGCCAAAACTGGTATTGATTATTGGATACTGGGTTAAAAAAGAGTATTAGAATCTAAGAAATTTCCCCAATACTGCATATTAAAAATCAAAGTTAATGCATGATTACATTTGTTCTTTCTTAGATGTTAAGATTCATCCTAGGGCATCCATATTGGACATCATAGATTTCAAATGCATGTTTTGTAGGTAAACATTTCTCAGTCATGGTCTCATCAGACCTCTGCAGAGAATCCAGAATCCCTCTTCTCCATTCACTGCGCTGGCCCCCTGTTTGATGCAGTTCAAAACTCCAGTGTTGGCCTACAGGGCAGTGAAGGAAACCATTACTCAGAAAACCTATAGTCGCTTATCTCGGTCCTGGCTCTTCTCACTGGTGGAATGAGCTCCTTGCTGGAGTCAGGACTGTAGAGTCACTGCCCATCGTCCACCGCAGGTTAAAAATCCGCCTTATCAGACTTCATCCCAGCAACCTTTGCATACAAAAAACCAATCTCTAAGGACTTGTACTGTTGCACTGAATGTAAGTAATCCATTTGAAAGGGATATACCCCTGAGTTTGACGTGATCTGCCTTGCCATGGCTGTAATGTTACGTAAAATGTTAATGTTTCATGAGATTGATATTGAGTCATGATATTTATTGTACCGCTGTTGGTGTGGTACTAACCTGAACAAAATGAATTTCCCCTTTGAGGACAATAAAGATCACACCTATTATATCTGTTGACTTAGCAGTAAAATCACCTTGTGCAACAATTCAACTGTGCAAAACTCTGTCCTTAATTATGCATTTATTTATTTATATTCATAGTTATACAAAAGAAAATGTCATCTCACTTAATCTCAAGGAAAAAGGAGAAAAGATAGCACAAGTTCCCAGAGAGCGCCAGAGCAGAAAAAGGGGTCATTCCTGCCAATAAATGTCCCCCAGTAACACCCTTCAAACAATATTTAGGAACAACATCATGTTAAAGTGTCAGGGTCGATATTACGGCTGAGTAACATGACAAGAAGACACTTGTTTAAAGTAATCTCTTGTTGTCGATTGTGTATGTGTGCGTGTGTGTGCGCGCGTGTGTGTGTGTGTGTGTCCACAACAGCAGTATATCTACACTTCAACATGAGGACATAAGGAATAGATGAAGTGCTGGCTGCTACCTTCAAATCTACACACACGCCAAAACAAAACCCCACTTCAACACAATTACATGTCCATGTTCATACACACACGCAGACTTACACATCAGCCAGGAGGTGACATTGATGAAGTAGGTTGGTCTTTCCAGGTCAGAAATAAATGAGTTCAACTGTAGCTGTGAGATTACCTTCAGGTCTCTCTATTTAGTCTAACTTTTTCAATATACCCTGGGCTTTGAAAAATTGGTGTATGTTTGTGTGTGAGTAAAAGGGAGTGAAAATTCTTAAGAAAATTGCAAAGCATGGCGACAATAAAACCGGAGTAAGAGGGTGGCTTCAAGAGGAAACACACAGACACAAAACATTATTGATTACAATGTACGTCTACACTTGTACCTTTCAAATACCATCTATTTGTGAGGTTCAGAGTGATTGGGGAGTTATCTTTTGATCAATTGTTCAAGTCAAGGATGCTGACATCTCCACTGTGACAGCAAGAAAAGGGGTGGAGGGGTTAGAGGGACAGATGTGAGGAAAAGATACTGTGTGGGGCTAAAATACAGTTTCACGCTGGGGTTCTAAAAACAATGGGAAGATATTGTTTTGTAGTTTGTCCTGCTGTTTGTGCCGGTTCACCACTGCGGTCACCACAGTTGGAGCTGCAGCAGTGGATGTGACACACAGCATAAAGAAGCAATCAAGACACTTAAAAGAAACCTTAGTGCCCCGTTGATGTAATTTGGGTAAACAATTGTATAACTCAGTCAAATCTGAACACAGACATTATACACATATTCTCATAAATATTCAATGTGACTTACATTTTCCGAGAATATCATTATTTTTGATGTCGAACACAACTTCACATTTAGAGATCATAAAAAAGATGCTCCTACGAACGATTCTATCAGTATCAACGCACTCCAATGGCAGTTATTTGATCATCCCTGGGTGCATTGCTAGCAGCAAATGTTAACTGTAATTCATCTGTGAATCCGTTATATATCTTGTTATACTAGTCCTCTGTATATGAACTTTATATGGGCACTTAACGGGACAAACATCTTATTGTTCGTGTGTCGTCATGCCAGCTTGTTAGTGTGATTTATTATCTGGTGCCCAGTACCTTGTCCCAAAGTCTGTCACGGTCCAAAGCGACGAGGACCATGGAAGGATTGGTGAGGAAGCCTTGGCTGTTGAATGACAGATCTTTCCTTTCCCACGTCACATTCAGCATGTGCCTGCAACCCACACAAACATAAAGTCATACAAAAATGATGTTGAACACAATCAAGGACTTTGATACATCATTTAAGAATTTGCATTTTCGTTTACACAGATAAACACACACAATGATCCCCTCCTAATTAAACCTAAAGCTCCACTGGAGGGCTTAATCTAACGTGGGAGGCTGGAAGTAGCTCATTAGTGGAAGAGGGAGGCGGCTGATTGGCGGAGAGTGTTCCTACTGACTGATTTCACTCTGTTAAGATACACATCCTTGACAGACAGGGTCTGTGAATAATGAGTCTAGGTCAATTTGCATTTCAGAACATGTGAAAAAGAGTCGCAACATACTTTCACTTCATGCTGTTCAGCTGAAGTTGAAGTTTTGCTCTTCCGTACGTGCCACAGTAATGATCACTCTTATAAGAATACAGTGCTGCAGGAATGAGACCCAAAACCCCAAAATGAGTCAACACTTTTGCACTTCCAGTTCTCTTGTTTGGAGGTCAATTTTCATTTCTGTATGGTCTGTGGTTAACATAGTTAATAACATAAGTTCATGTTTTGTATGATGTCGAAAATGTCAGTAAAAACCCAAATTGGGAATTTGGAAGCTTTTACATGTCCTAGAAGTTGCGTTCGCTGACTACATGACACAACAGAGGTTTTGGGGGACACTGAACTTCATCATGTAGCACAGGGGGGGACTCATGTACTTCATGATGTCGACATCGAAGACATGCGACCGTGGTTAGTTAATAGCATTACATCAGCTTTGACATGTGGCAATCGTATTTGAACTTCAACAATTATAACAATTTTGGTAATTATCTTGTTGAGCAAAACATGTAAGTAACATAAACATTTGTTTGCTTCAAAGCTTTTCTCTCTGCACTAGGCCAAAATGCAATGAAAAAATCCTGTTGACTTTTTGTCGGCGAAACCATTGTGTTGCAAACTTCCATTTTGTCCTACAGAAATATCTCATCCCTGGCACAATTCATTCAAGTTGTGTTCACTGAAAGAAAGTGTCACTCACCTGAACAGAGTATTGTTGTCTGAGTGTTTAGCCAGTTTGGTGCAGTCACCTTGTCCCTCAGGAATAAACCCGTACAGCTTCTTGAAGCTCTCAGCCCCTTGAGCTACAATGGCGACACCCTCCCTCACCCTCTGCCGCAGGCTCTTCCTCCACTGGTCCGTAATCACACCGATAACACCAATAGGGAAGCTGGCAGGTGGAGGGCTATCAGGGTTGCCCACGGCCTGACTGGGGATGATCCAGATGTATCCTGGCCCCAGCAGACCCACCTCAGCAGCCTGTTGAAACAAGTACTGTGCCTCCTCATAGGAGCAATACGCCATCAGGACCTGAGAATCCACCTGCGGAGGGAGAGAACAAGGCTGTCAGAGAGAAAACAGCCTGAACATGCTGCAGGTCATCAAGAGCCTGCAGCACCAGCTGTTCCCCAAACTTCAGCCTGCTTCTAAACTTTTTGCTGTTTCAGATTTAAGTTTCACAAAACTAATGCCAACCAATTAAACAATAAATACAAAGATTGCCTCACACAGACTAGTTCTTTCATAGACAAATATTGTTACCCAATATTCACTCCCGTTAACTGCTAATAAAACGGTTGCAACGGAACCAACGGTAGCCTTAATGTTAGCTCTCTAACATATAACACATTAAGTCTGAATAGTAAAAAAGGCATGGATAATGGTCAACATGTCCGACCCAAGGGGCAGCCAATGAAGTGAACCCAATGTAGAAGTGCCCTAAACCTGCATTCTCTCTGATATCTAGCCGACTTTACTGACTGCAAAAATGAATCTGATGGTTAAGACATCTATGAGAAAATTACAGTACTATCCATTTGAATTATTGCCCCAGTAAACATGTTCCTAATAATAATAATAATGGTGATAATAATACATGTTATTTATATAGCGCTTTGCATGGTGCTCAAAATGAGTCAAAATATCATTTTTTTTAAAATGTGTTTTACTGTATAGTTTGTACATTGTTAACAATTGTTGTGTTATGGGAACTCATGCAACCAACCTGCGGCTCTGCTTCAACTGTGCAAGAGCCTGACGCATACAACATATAAAATGTCCACCTGTACAACCATTGTCAAGCTTTAGGGTGGAAAAAATTACATATTTATCATTTGAATTGGAAGATAGTCATTCGTAACGTAATACATTCCCATCAAAGCTCCAACCCACACCCAACCTGAGTAGAGGTCGAATCCACCAGAGTAACTGAAAACACCATGTAGGTGTTCAGAGACTAGTAATGATGATGCAGTAACCCCATTTAGTACAGCACTTATTTGTAAGAATTGAGCCCTTCACACAAACTAAGTGATAGATTAAAGCTAGTGCCACCCAATATGGGATTTCTATAGCTCATTGTACCTGCTGCAACATGCGCTTCGTCCTCGCATCATTTGACCCAACGGACATTTCCAGAGACAAAACATCCTGCAGGTTCCACAGGAAATAGGAGGTATCTGTGTAGGACTGAACTATATCCACAAAGGTGTCGTAGCCCGGCAGCAAACTGGTGATCACCGCAAACTCGCCCCAGTCATACTCCTCCATGAGCTGAAACAGGGACATATAGAAATAAAGTAGCAAAATGATAATATCCATGGTAATGAGGTTATCAGATGAAGGACTTAAGAATGATTGCAAGTGGAAAATTGTGATGGACTGATGATGAGAAAATCAGACCTCTTGCATAATGTGTATTTTGATACCTGTTTGTTTTGGTATTCAGTCTTTATGCTAAGCTAAGCTAAGCTAAATGGCTGTTTTCTCCGTTTGGCTCTCTTTTGATGGTACAGACACGATAGTGGGATCCATTTACTCTAAAAAAAATGTTTTGTCATAAATAACCCTGTCAATTGAGACTGCCACTAAATGATGAGCATGGACTCTACAGTTTGATGAGGATGTAATGTTTTGGTTTCACAGACTGAACTGAGATCATCCCTTTGATTGGCAAAACATCAGTGACATTAAGCCCTATGATCTCATGAGAATTGTTTGTACAATCATAAACACAGATTTGATCAATTTGTAGAAATTGGGGCCATGACTTCAGATCAGGGATTCCCTTGTTGCTGGTTGTTGTCCTTACATGGACTTTATCGGCCTGGGTCGTCCCAGTTGTCTGGATTGACCCAACAACCAGATTTTAATCCCAAAATTGGGTTCAAATGAGGTTGGATTGTCAGTTATTGTAACTCTGCAATGTTTTACTATACCTTGAACATGCAGACGATCTGCTGCTCAAGAGACGCTCCCATCTGCAGGAATGAGGATCCCTCCGCCTGTAAAGATTAAGAGTCATATTTAAGGATTCAGGTGGGGGAGGTTATTCTCCTGAGCTGGTCTTTAACACAGACATCAGCAGTTTGGGTTTTTACTTTCAGGTTGATGAGTTTTTTTTAGGCTAAAGTTCATTTTTTCCACTTCTGAAAATGCTTCATGAGTCGGAAATCAGTTTCAGGAACTTTAACAATCAAGAAACGAACATCTAGGTATAGTGCTGAACTTTCTGCCACAACAGAAGCAAACTGATGAAAGCTTTTTCAGATGAACTCGGCTGCTGCTGCTTATTTAAGCAGCACCTTTAACATTTTTACTGCTGCGGAACAATCACATTTGTATAAAACGTTTCCACTACTAGGACATAGCATTTTAATAAACTGTCAACTTGTTTAATAAGCATTAAAACATTACTTTAAAAGTCATGAGAAAGAGGAGCGGCACTAAATCCAATTAATTTAATGAAATTACAAATAAAGAAAAAAGAAAGGATTTTAGGTGAGGTGCTTGGACAATGGCACCTAACTTGGCTTTATAAAATGTACATTTTCATCCATATCCATGATTTACTCAAAAGTGTCTCTGAAAAGAGAATTTAAACAATAATTGATTGATAGAAACCACTGTCACCTCCACCCTAGAGTACTATGATGCCGATTCAGAGTGATGTGTCGTATAAAGAACAGTTATGAATATGTATACTACAGTTTCCACCTTTATTGAGCTTTGCTTGTCCATATTCTGCCTGGATCTGGTAAGAGTGTTTCCAATGTGCAGACATAAGTCCTGCTGCTCTCTTTCTGTCAAGAAGGGGTGGTCCACTCTTACATTTGTCTTTGCTTTTTAGCATACATTTGCATACCGACTCATTGTGCGACATAACGCTGAACCCATGTCCTTCAAATACCATTTAAATAAAGTAGGCCATCGCGGAGAGAGGAGAGGAGGATGTCTATTGAAAAGTGTAAAGTAGATCAAATATAGACACAAAGAGCAGAACTCATCAACCAATAAGGAAACAATATTCTTTGTATGTTAACCTTGAACCTTTAACCTTAACTGTGAATTCAGCTAGCATTTAATGTGTGATAAAACCTTTGTGTCAAGACTGACTGATACATTCTGAGCAATGATTTGGTGATTTGAAGGTCAAAATGTTTTAGCAGTCTTATTACTGAATTCAGTCATTAAAATAACTATTAGTCAGATTTATCTATCTGCAAAGACCCTGGCCCCTGCCTGCATTTTATCTTTTCTTTTAATTTAGAATTGTTTTTATCCATTCAAGCCACTGTTACAGTTTGTACGCACTGTTCCTGGCCTTTTTTTTTTTTAGATGTAACTGCGCAACAGAGCTTGGAATAAAGATCTGAGGGTCCGTAAAGTGCTGCAGGGCACAAGTGGACCTGTGATGTAAGCAGGTGCAAGACTCTGCAGGGCTTTAATATGAAGGAGTAATATTCTGAATTTAACTGGGGAGCAAAAAGGTGAAGATCAGGGTAATATTGAGGTTTTTTAACATGGGAATACAATGCAGCAGCATCCAACACAAGTGGAGACAGCTAATCTAAAATACATTGACATACATGCGTGAACAGAGTGAAGCAGGAGTATAGTGAGAGAGAGAGTAGATGGTGTTAAACTGTCAAAAGCCATTTGGGAGCAGGTCCTCAGTCTGTTCTCGTCTCTGAGGTGACTAACTGTCATATCTCCTTCCTGTTGCTCTTCCCTCTCCCACAGCTCAGACGCTGCGAAAAGCCCCAGAGAGCTGTGCAGCCTGAGGAATACCACAGGAATATCACAACTAGACTCTCCCTCACTCAATTGTACCAGTCTGAGCTTGTTTGAAGCTCACCTCTCAAACTCCAACAGACCACTGACTGGGCTGACTACCAGAATAACATTTTAAAATAGTCGTACACAACCATGTCAAGCTGTCACTAAATTAAAAAAAGAAATACCCTGAAATGGCAGCCCCGGTCAGCTATAGTGTCCCACTTCGTCTTATGTAGAAGTGATGAGGTGCATTATTTGAAGAAGTATAATTCAAATCCAATTAATTTTGTCTGAGCTATTAAACCAGCAAATAATGTAGTGACCTCCCTCGAGCCAATAAGTGTTTCATCATCCAACTAGCAGCATCTTATATCGTGAAATATTTTACAAACTCGGAAGCAAATGTGATGAAAGACGTCAACCTTTCACATCACAGTGAAATCAAGCAAGAATTACAACAAAATCACGTTATTTTCCCATGTCTAACACCCGCGCTCATGAGAAGAGAGTCCCCCTCCCCCCTGCGTCCGCCGCTTTCAAGCCATCTTGTTCTCACCACCTTGGCGGTGTGGCTGTCACACACAGACGTAATTAGCAGTCCTACTGCAGGAGCGTATGGTAATGTGACAGGAAGACAGTTGACATGGTGGTTGCTCACACACTCCTCCTCTCCCACAGAGAGAACTCTGCGCCGAGCTCCCTGTCTGTGGAGAGGCTGGTGGGTCAAAAACAAAGCAGGTCGAACACACAGTAGCTCACTCACATCATATGGACTCAGATACGTTCACACATGTACAGTAAAATGCATTCTTCCAACGTAAAGGTTGTACATTTGCAAGCTTCCATCTGCAGAGGTGGAAAGTATAATTACTCAAGCTTATGTTGTTGTTAGTTTTATACAATTGTCTGCCAATCATTTCTTATACTGTACCTCATATCAGTTGTAATTAGTGTACTCCACTGCATTTATATACTGGCCACAATTACTTTGCAACTGGAGGTGATGCTGATGATTAGCAGGTATAAGCAGTGAACACCAGAATTAAAGCTGATGGTTGATGGGAATTTATTGTAATATTGGATCTGTAATGGATGCATAGTAGAGAATAACGAGTAATGAATATACTTTATTACTCGTTTCCATTCATGTCAATTGCAGATCAATGTTTCGTCTTCTCAAGCACCAACTATCAAATATCTCTCCTGATTGTTGGCACTTGACAATCACCTTCCCTGAATTTGACTCAGGTTTAACTAAAGTCTGATTTAAGGGTTGTTTATATTTCACATAATTAATCAGAATCTGCAAAGTAACTCAAATAAGTGTAGTGGAGTAAAAATACCAGGTTAACCTCTGAATTGTAGTGGAGTAGAATTACAAAGTAACAATGAGCTGTCATGTGGGTATTAATCCTGCGCATTATGGACACAAGCGATTTTCACCCATTTATTAATTATATGTTTTACATTTGATAACACCAATGTGTTTAATACTGGCAACTTCTAATTGTGGGAAAAACGAAAACGTTCAGTAGAGACGTCCCATAGAACATTTTGCGAAACACAATAGCCAGCATGTGTAGTTCTGGGGGGGCGTTCGATTCCAGTTTTGGATAGTCTGTGGTTTCGTTCCATTTCAAACAGCTGTTTGACGCTCGGCGTAACCTTGGCGCACTGCCACTCCAACATCCAATCCCAGAGCTTGAAGATTAATCACGGGGACTGTAGTCCTAAACGATAGCTGGGGATTATGGGTAGTGTAGTGTCTTCGGCCATCCTAAACTCCTAGAGGCCTACGTCTGTTTCCGGTTATTTTTATTTTGAAATTCAGTTCCTGACGGACGCCAAAAAAGCCCGAGATTATGGAATTAAACCAATAAATAAAAGCAAGGATAATTGTGTGTTATTGGTGAGTAAATAACAGTGTGTTATTTTGAAAAGAATAACAAATTAGAAGGAAAAAAAGATTTAAAAATACAGATTTCAGTATTCTGAGGCTCTGAGCCCCATTTATTTTCCTCACAGACGGCAACAAAAGTCCGAAATTATACGATTGAAAATAAAAGCAATAATTATGGCTTGATATTGAGTAAGAACATGTTTTTATGAACCACACAGCTTCCGGTCTTCCACGACCCGACCGGAGAAAAAGACGTGCTGCAGGCACGAAACACATTACCAGTAGAAATACATTGCTTTTAAAATCGTGCTGTGCAACATGAAAAACAGGGGAAAATCGTGTTGGTGAACACGAATCAATAGATTAAAAATCGTGTTGGTGAACACGAAATGCCATGAGACTGGGTTGCTCACAAACAATGTACTTCTGTTTGGCCATGTTGGGAAGCTTTGAGGGATCCAGGCTATTAACGTTTCATCATTCCCGGCGATAAAAAAGAGTTTCCAGTGGGAATACTGGGCAGCAAATCTGGGCTTCTAATGACCTGTTTATGGAGAGTCTGGTTTCTGGACCATGAGGCCAAGAGAGACAGAAGTGAGGAGGCGAAGAGAAGAGACAGAAGCACAAATAGAGAAAACGGGTCAGTCTGGCCATAGAAACAAATCCCCAAAAAAGAAACCGTGATCCAATGAGACACGTCTGGCTCATTGCATCACTTTGGTCGGACATCACAAACACAGTGTGACCTTAGAGTGCAGCCAGGACTGAGACTGTAACTCCAGAAATATAATCTTCCACTGACAGCTTCAAATTGTAATAAATGATGTTATACGCTCGAATACTCAACGTCAACAGTTTCTTTGCTTCTATAATCCATCATGTGCATATAATACTTAAAAGGGTATTTTGTTCCTGTTTACTAAAAGCACATAAAGCTGTCAGCTTTGTTTATTCTGGGCTTTATCAGCATCTAAAACCATGATCACTAATTTCTTTATGTTTGTAACTGTGATGAACAAAAGACTGGTTTGTGAATGATCAAACATGCAGTATGTATTTCCTCAGAAACAGAGATTTACTGTAAGAGTGCCTTGTCATAATGATGCTCTCTCCAAAACTGATTTAGAGCAGCCAGAGGAAAATGTTTTACATCGCTCTCATCATTTAACAAGTACAAAAGAATACATTCTACTGATTTTACAAAAGTAATTATTTTAATTATTTTATATGTGCTCCGAAAAGAAATGATCTACAAAATGTCACCTCAACTGTATTTAAAGCGTGGTTATAATGCTTATTTTTGATAGTCCACAATTTTTAGGGTTT